ACAAAGCAGTGATAAATCATATTCATACAAAACATCAGAAATGCAAACCTGCATTAATCATTAAAGGAAAAAGATGGACGATTAGGCAAAACAAAAGAACATAAAAGGAATCCGTCACTCTGGTCACTAATAACTAAGGTTTTTAATTTACATATCACCCTTGGATTTTCAACCACTTAATCTAATCATCAGAAGGTTAAGACAACAAATAATTTCAGAATCTTCCTAGTTTAAAACTCCTTCAACATACCTCAAGACTGTCGTAGGTCGGGCAGATTGTTGGGAGGCTGGCCTGTTCTCTGCATCCCTATTTCTTAAAATAATTGTTGGGGTAGGTTGTGATAACGGTTTTGCAGGGCTACGATTATCCATCAATCTATCCTTCTCAGAATCACCATCTCTGTCCCTCTCGCGACCAGGTTTCGTTAAAATAATAGGCATCCTCCTCAACCCCCATGTGCCATGATCTCTTCTATCCTTCAAAATACAAAAACAAAAAGTAATTATTGGAAGGTACTCAATAACTGTCGCTGAAAAAACTGCTTAGTGGAACAATAGCAGTATGAAATCATTCATGTCATTCATTTAACATTCATACCTTATTGTGCATGCCGAAAAACTTCTTTTGCCTGGGATCCCGCTGCCGATCGAATTCAGACATGTTATTGCTCTGACTCGTAAATTCACATCGACCATACATCAAATAGCAATTAACAGAAGCCGGTACACACGCGGGATATGTACGAGATAAAATCAGTGGGGGATTTTGGAAATCCTTCTATTTACACAGAATCAATGTCACAAATCATACGTAGAAACAAGGCAAAGCAAACGCACCAAAACACGCTGATATATAATATGTCAGAAGCACGACCAACGATGATGAGGTACACCAAACCACACCAAACAGTGTATCGAGTAACCCACGAAGTCGCGCACAAATTTTCCAAGTTTTGACACCAATGATCAGCCAAAGAGTATAAGAAATAAACTATGATTTATTTAACCATGCACTTGAAGTAAAGCAGCTGTTCACTGTTTCACCCAATTAAAAGCTTAAACGTCATTATACGTCACTATAACGTCACTGTAGTGACATCTATGCTCCCGATTAGGTGAAACCCCAATAGCTGATTTACGTCATGCGCGCGACTAAATAAATAGTACTGTAAGGACAGAATATAGCCTATCTATACTGCGATTTATGCAACTTTGCCTTTGGCAGGAATCAGTAGTTGACATTTACATCCAATCGAGAGCTTGAACGTAACTATAGTGACGTTTTGGCTCCCGATTGGACGAAACTGTTAACAGCTAATACCTGCCAGGAACAGTTGCTAAAATCGCAGTTTACTGGCTGATAACGCCAGATGATTGATTATACAGAGGTAAGGAAATATGTTAAAAAAAATAAAAAAATCGTAATCAAAATTTGTAGCCCAGCATAGTGCTGCAACCCACAAGGGCTATACTCCAATTTAAACGTAGTGGCACTTCTAATAATAGCTGAACAGCAAGAGTACCCACACTTGTTAGTTTATCTATGCAGTGCATAGAGCTTAGTATGCACTATATAACGTCCATAGATTAGATATTCATTGATGGAAGACATTATTATTATTATTATTATTATTATTATTATTATTATTATTATTATTATTATTATTATTAATTCATTGATGACACTTAAAGATCAAGAGCTATAGAAAGAGAGAACGTCATTATCACCCAATCGGAAGCTTCAATAGAGATGTCCAGAATGACATCCCAACATTTGCCGAGAAAGGGTTGGATGGCAACCTCTGTCGTCCGCATAAGCGATTCCTATTAAAGAGAATTGCAAAGTTTTTGGTAATGGCGGCTCGTGCTTAGGTTGCACGGTTGCACAACCCTCAGACAAAATCGAAAAAATCTCTTAATATATTAAGAATCTACATTTTCCTTTTAATGATGTTCAATATTCAAGATATTGCAGCAATATAGATGTACATGAAATCATTTTGAAACCAAAGAGTGTCCAAGTGTCTCTCCGATGCCTTGCCCAGTATTTGGTATCACGCTCTTGGATCTTGGTTGTTTTATTACAAATTAACATCATGTATTCATCCGTGGTAGTTTTGGGTTTACTGCATTTACTTTTTGGTCCTTCGATTTCACACGAGTAACAGAAGATATTTTGGTTGGTCAACCAGACTGGTGCCGCTGTTTAGCGCTGCGCAGCAACGGAGGGAGTCACAGGAGAATATCAATATTCTATCTGCGTCTGACTCGCTGCACTGTAATTTTATGAATTTCGCTTGTTATTGTATACAAGTTCAGTCAATTATTGACGCCATTTAATGCATTATTTATGATCTTTAGAGAATTTGTTTTCATTTGATATTAAATTTATTGACTTAAAAAGTACTCTTGATGAATTCTTCGTGTAAAATTTGCCGATCTGGAAGTAAGTCCCTTTCTCGGTAGTTGCAGCAGACTGCAGTTACACGACGAAGAGCGCAGGTGAAATATGAATGTGTGTGTGGAAGGATCTTTGTTACAAAATTTACAGGAGTAGTGATATTTTTGAAATGTAATAATTTTATTTGTGTCAAACATGTCTAGACAATAGTGCTTGTTGCGATGTGCTGGAGTCGAACGTAAGTGTCCAGGGGAAATCAGAGACAGCCACGTGCGCGAAAGGTATAATATACCTGACTTTATATACCTGACTGTCACAATTATGAAAGTAGTGATTCAATATGGATCTTTATTTAACTTAATTTTAATTAATTTGAATTGCTTACGTTATTATTATATTTTCGTATTTTGAATTCTGAAAATTACATTGCCGTCATGGAGATGCAACCTCCAGTCATTTGGGGCACCAGCTGCTACTGATTTTTTGGCTGTATTGTGCTGTTGCCATGATGCATATGGCTTATCACATTTGTTATTTACAATGATATTTGCTTTCTTTCGGGTTATTTGGGTTCTCACTGCGAACGCCGACGACAAATTGGATTTGAAAAAGCACTATTTTATCAACAAATGTCAAGTCACTACCTTTTCTTTTTGAAAACGATTCGAAGTTAATCTTCACCCTTTCCCTATCATTTCTATTAAGAAGGAATTTGTTAATAAAACGTGTTTATATGTTTAAATAATGTATAAATGTTACTTCGTACTTCAATATCATACAAAAATAAAAACAATGCAATTGACGTAGGAAACAAATTTTCAATAAAGGTTTATTCAGTAATATAGAGAAATGTTCTTCGAACAATTCACACTTCCTTAAAAACATTTGAAGTTCCTTGACAGTTAACTTTTTTGCTTTCCTTGATAGTCACAAAAATATTAGAAAAGGTTTCTACGCATCAGAAAGCCAAGAAAAGTATTCTACGCAAAACTACAGGAGCGGGCAAGTTCAACCCTACTTGTTGTAACGTAATTTAACTTTTCTGGATTTGTTATCGAGAATAGAAAGGTTTTTGGAAGGGCAGGGTGCTAGTTTGCCGGGGGTGCGAAAATTGTAAAATTATTTGTATACTAAAAAGTAATGTATTATTTACTGCGTTCTGTACCGCAAGAAAAACAATTCTGAACTAAATAATAATAAAACTAATATTTTCAACTTTGAGAAATAAATACCATTTGAAACAATTCTGAACGTTTAGACTTCGCGTCAATACATGGGAATGTTGCTTAAAAGATTTTTACTTATTGAATACACCTTAAAGTAGTATGTTCGTTAGATCGAGCACGGTGTAGTACCCCCCCCCCCAAAAAAAGTACTCTAAATAAAAGCCAAAAATCTGTTCTTCAAGATGCTAAGAAAAAAATTCGCCCTTACCGGCCCATTTTTTTAATAAAAGAAGTTTATTCTTGTATTAGTACAAGTACGATTACAATGCTTTCTTCTGAGTAAGGATGAGAAAGTATAAACAATTTTTATTTAAGAATTTGTGTTTGGAATGGTTGGAAAGTAAACCCTGGTGTAACTACTTATGGCTAAATGTATCAATACTAGTTCAAATCAAAAGATTGTTAATTTTGGTGTCGTCAACATGTGGCAGCACCAAAATTTTAAAAAAATTGTACTACTAATTACACTATTATTGTTAAATGTTTCATTAGTAAACTGCATTTGGCACATTATCGCGTTCTCGCTACGAAGTAGAGAGAAAGTCATGTAATGCTGTGCGAAAAAACGGCGAATTTTCGGCAGAAAACTCATTACAAGGCCCTAGTACCGAAAACTTGAAGGACCGCTAAACGTCTGTCCGTCTGCGAACAACCCTAGCGTCTAAACCGTTCAGCCAATTTCCTCTAAAATTGATATTCTTCAATCGATCTGGCTGATGTCAGAGCCGCTTGAATTTGAAACTGAAATTTTAATTTTGGGGGTCACTTTTTATAAAGACTCTGAGACATTTTCCAAATAAAAAAATGACCCCTACGTTTTTGATTAAATTTTTTGTTGGATAGTGTGAATAACGTTTTAAGAGAATGGTGCAGATCACATGATCGTTGAAAACATGATTTTTCTAAAAGATTGATTTTGAAATAAGGTCAAGTACAATTTTTGAAAATTTGAGTACTTTTCACTTGCGTGAAAATACGGGCGAGAAAGTAAGTGCTATTGTAGTTACAGGACTGAATGAAGTCCTGCTTCCAGAATCGTCGAGTGAACCGTCCAAATCGGATGACTAGGAAATTAAACACTATTTTTTTACGTAGGACCGCGGGGTCATCAAAAAATATTGTGGGGCAAGCCCCCCCCCTTCCGCGTGCAATCTAAAAAAAAAAACCCTATTTATATTGAAAATGTGCATATGCTACATAATTCCGTATCTTTTAATAGAATAAATAGGCTTCTAATTGACACATTAATTAATAAACAGCCTACTAATTACAATCATATTTAAGATTACATAAAACACAAACACGGACTTTCTACGTGCCCTCCTGCACACCCCACATCTTGTAGCGTTGGGTCTCCTTAATATTTACATTATGGTATAATTTCCTTACACCAGGGTTTACATTCCAACCATTCCAAACACACTTAAATAAAAATTGTTTTTACTTTCTCATCCTTACTCAGAAGAAAGTATTGTAATCGTACGCCGGAAACTTTTCGAAAGAGAAACTCTTATTGTCGGACCCTAGTAACTACGAGTTCAATGTGAACCATTATTGTTTTGATTGTTAGAAATATTTTTAGTTTAGTTATACACACACACAGAGACACGCGCGCGCACACACACACACACACACACACACGCACACGCACACGCACACGCGCGCGCGCGCACACACACACACACAAGCTTATGTTATGGATTGCCCAGGGATCAAATCAAAGCAGGAAGACTACTAGCAAATACGCCACAAGCCACCCCTAACGTCACCCTTGGCAAATTATATAAAGTCTAGGAAGGAACCATTGCAACTTTAGTTCTGTAGCCAACATTTTATCACATTCATCATCAGAGCTCCCTGGTAATTGAAATATGATGATGATGATGATGACGATGATGATGATGATGATGATGATGATAACATGGTAGATAATGTGGTGTGTAATAAAAACGATATGAGTAAATTATGAAAATAAAAAGAAATCCTGAGGAAAGCTACAGTTAATCAACCTTCCACCTCAATTTCTACATGAATTATTAGGATTTAACTGAGATACTTAAGAAAAGGAATTATGTCATGCTGACTTCTGCATTCTAGCTTTTTTCCCTCGAAGCAAGCTCTTTTCCCTCAAAGCAAAATAAATACTTGGTATAACTAATTTCTCAGACAGGTGAAAAACTACAGGTGAAGCACTTAACAAAATCATATAATAATATCATAATGCTAAATATTTAAAAAAAAGCAATATTAACCTTCCCCAAAACAAAACACAAATTACAGGTAATTGAAAAAAAAATTTTTCAGTATGTGCATAATTTCATTTATTAACATAGGTTTGTAAACCCAATACAATATATTGAGTTACAATAAAATTTACCTTAAATGCATCTCTATTTCATTTAGAGTACCAGTAATTTACTTTAGTTTTCAGTCAATAGGTAAAT